AAATTCTATTAGAAAAACCGATGTAAATCAAAGTATATTTCAACAACTTTATTTAAGCGAAAAAGATAAATACAATGCCAAATTATTAATATTTACCGATGGATCTTACTCAAATGGAAACACTTCGTATGCTGTTATTGAACAAAAAGACGGAAACCATAAAATCATAAAACAATCATTACTACCAAACAATGCCGGTATTTTCCCAGCGGAACTAGCGGCTCTCAGATTCGCAGTATCCTACGCATCAAAGAAGAAAGAAAAAACGTTGATTTGTACCGACAGTTTAAGTGCAGTCAAATCCCTAAAATTCGAAGGAGAAAATAGAAGATATGTTCTAAAAAACTGTACACTACTTGCTGAAATTATCATTCTCTGGATTTCTGGGCATCTAGGAATTAATTCATTAGAATACGCAGATTTAGCTGCGAAAAATGCAGTGAAATACCCATTAATTACCGAAGTCCCACCACTTGTCCCAGTAATAGTCAACTTTTACAAAATATATCAACGGAAACAACAGGAAAATCAATGGAGTACATCAACTAGCTTTCTAAAATTGCATAACGACACCATAGCACGACCTCCTTACTGTAAACACTTTAGTCGAAATGATTGCATTATAATTGCTATAATTATTATGAACAAACTCAACCTAAAACGTGTGAACACTGCTCTGAAATCCTCACAATAAAACATATTCGAAAGAATGCCCATTAACATTAACAAGCGAATCACTACAAGATTTGCTAAACTGCCAAAATAGAATGACAGCTAGAAAAAAAAACATTCTGATAAATGCCAATGTTTTAAATGAAATTTAATATTTACATACATAGTGTAATGGCCTAGTAGCCCACACTATTCAATAAGTTCTATTTTATAAGTTAATTTTATATTATACTTTAAATAAATAAATAAATAAATAACTTAAAAGACATGTTTTTGGCATAACATCAGATAACATTGAATAATAATCAAGGCGACTAAAGCTTATGTTGTTGTTGTTGTAAGCAGCATGGGGCAGTTCCTGAGATGACACCAGAGCAGTTCCTGAGATGACACCAGCCCAAACAAGCGTTGCACCATAATTGTGCAGAACCATGGTCCGGGATTTAATTCAATTCCGGCACGGACCAAAAGGATGCGGAGCAGCAATGCCGGAAGATGCTGCTCCGCTGCAGAAAATTGTATTGTTGTTGCTGGGGTTGACAGCCCTTGGCCGAATACTTCGGGTCATTCCGGTTCGTAGAACCGGCTGTCGGGGAATGAAAGCTTATGTCATTCGGTGCGTTATGACGGGGATATTTAGTAACATAAAATTTCCAGACAGTAAAATTTTTCACCCTTCCGCCTTATAACGAGTGACTTTCAGTATCAAATCTGTCAAAATAAACATGATTGTCCAATCTTAAGAAGTTCCAGCTCCTTTAAACACTTCAAAATCTACCACAATACCTCGGGAAAATTGCATACAAGATTTCTTAGGGTATTGGATCTTATTAATTTTGCGTATATATCATATCCCCTGATCGGAGCTGAAGGAATTTGGCTCGGAAAACACCGCTGTATTAGGTAGTGATCTTAAATTCATTCGACCTGTACAATATTTTGAAAAAGTAACAATGTAGCCTATTATAAATGCACATCCTTAGAATATTTTTATATCTGCTGATACGTATCGATCTTTCTGAAGTATCTTGTAAAATACAAAAAACTTTTCTATATATTAGAATAGATTATACTCTAATGTATTTTAGAATTTCGTCATAATGGTTTTCTAGAAAGTAGATTAGATTTAAGTATTCACAGTACATAATTTTGAGAACAGGAATTAATAGGAAGTTTTATATCCTAAAAGGAAATTTTTTCCTTAAATTTGACATGGTAGGTAGGTGGGTTGATAGGAGGATGTACACTACATCAAATCCGAAGAAACACACCTAAGCCACCATTGGACCTGTTGTGCGCTCCTTATCATTAAAAAAACTGAATGAATTATTTTTCAGTGTTCATAAACTCAGTTTCCTGAACGTAATTCCTAAGAATCTTCCAATCAGTGTTAGTCAGGAATGTTATTTCCATCATACTAACTTTAGATTTGCTCATTTTGAGGAGATTTTTTGTCTTGCTCTCATCAGGGTCACCCCATAGGATCTTCGTGGTTCTACCAACTGTTTCATTATTCCAAGAGGCCTTATGGGATTGTCTCAACCATATTTTTAGTTCAGCTTTTGTTGCGTCGAATGGTTTCGCGTTTGTCAAGTTAACTGCCTCGAGCTCCCTACCCTTTAAAGCTATTACATTCGACCTTTCGTTACCGACTACTCCCTAGTGGGCTGGTACCCATATGAGGTGAACCTTACCTCTGGGAGAGTATTCAGTTGAAGCTTTCTTACAATCCAATACGGTTTTAGATTTAGTTCTATCGCCCTAATTGCCTTCTGGCTATCGGTAAATGTATTAAGCGCTGTGGGCGCCATATTTATTCTAATCCAATTTACGCATTCCGTTATTGCTCGTACTTCTGCCTGGAAGCTTGTGTTATGATTTGGTAAACGGTGGTATATTTCTGTTTCTGGGTCCTCAATGTAGAACCCCAGCCCCACTTTGTCCCCCAATTTAGAGCCATCCGTGTAACAACGGATTCCTACTGGTATTTGCTCTAATGTTCCGCTTGACCAAGGCATTCTATCTGGGATCAGCGTTTCAAAGTTTCCGACATATTCTATCCGATGATTGTGTATAACCTTCCAATGTGTCCTATAACCGCTTTTGGCCAGTTCGCCTAAAGTAAAGAGACGTTTAGCTTTAAGCGCAGCGTCATAACTTAAATATGTTTCAATGGGTGGAATATCTTGCAACGTTTCCAGAGCCTTAGTTGAAGTAGTACACATAGTAGTTTGATATTGCACTTTTGGTCTAAAGCAGTCCACCAGATTATTGAAGCATAAGCTAGAATTGGTCTAATTACACTTTTACAAAGCCAATTTGTCATAGTAGGACTAAGACCCCATTTTATGCCTATAGTTCTCCTACATATCACCCAGCACCGATGTGCCTTGTTGATCCTATCCTCTATGTGGTGTCTCCATTTTTATTTCCGGTCAAGGATTACACCTAAGTACTTAACTTTGTGTCACTGGTATCTTCTTGTCCAGGAAGCAAGGTTCAATATACGTAGAAATTTTTGTCTTTCTTGTGAAAAGACAGATTTCCGTTTTTGCAGGGTTAACATTGAGGCCTGTCAGTTGAGCCCAGCTCAAGGCCGTATTCGGAGCCTCTTCAGCTCTTCTACACAAGTAATTTGGATCCTTTCCCTTTAAAAGTATTACGACATCGTCTGCATAGCAGACAGGTCTAAGTCCTTTCTCGGTTAGGGTCCTATTAATCGAGGTAACCCAGAGTAAAGGTGACAAAATGCCACCCTGTGGTATACCACGAAATATCTTTTCCCTGATAGTTATATCCTACATCTCGCAGCTTATCCATCTGTTCCTTAGCATGTGGTTGATCCAGCTACGGAGCACCCGGTCAACATAAAACTGGTCTAGGGATTGGATAAGAGTATCAGTGTGCACGTTATTGAAGGCGCCTTCGATGTCAATGCATACCGCCAGTGTATATAGTTTGCTATCAAAGGATGCACCTATGTAGTGTACAACTTCGTTTAAAGCGGTTTCCACCGATCGTCCCACAAATTTGACATAGTGTTTTATATTTTCTTATCGATGATCGTTTTTATGTAGCTTATTGTTTAAAGGAGTTTGATTACTGTTGATTAATCAAAAAAAAAAAAAAAAACAGAAATAAATAGGACCCTAATTAGGATATGCTGTCATCATCTGCATTTAGATTTAAAGCGGATAATGACGACATTCATGATGTGTAGTATAGTTTGCTATCAAAGTTTAATATATTTAAAACTGATTCAACATCATAATGGTTAGTTTAAATAAAGGATTTTTCTAGGAAAAAAGGGAAACCTATGTTGTGCCTGATCAACACAATTGCGATATCTGTATTTCCTTGCACCCTATTTAATAATAACTTTGAAGAATATTAACTTGAAACAGCATAATCATTGCATTATATCAACATAAAGCTATCATCAGTAAAACTTTAAGTTTTTTCTTAATAATAATAAAAAATGCTCACAATGTGGACTCATGTATATACTTGCCGAATAACGCAACCAAATTGGAGCCAAAATTAGCAAATTTTTCTTTGTCTGCCTTTTATTTCTTTTGTTTGTAGAGAGAAAACAGCTACTCACAATCATTGCTTACAGGTTAATAGACAAGAAATATTTTTTTCTTGTAATTTTCACTAAAAAAGACATCTCTCAATTGATATACTGGGTCTGAAAGGGTTAATTATTCTCATCAGACGATCTGTAAACCTAACGAAGTACCAGAAACTACTTCTAAAACCTTAAAAAATTCAGCAATTGAACATAAATATATTGAATTTTCATTTCTTACCTTTATAAATTCCATGATGTTCTCTGTATTTTTAATTTTAATTTTTTCTGTTTATTTTTTTTTAAAAGGAAAAATTTTCAATCGTTTGGTTTTTAAATGCAACTTTGATACATATGAAAAATCAGAAATTTTTGAAATTTTTCAAAAACTTAAAAATACGGTCGGTATGTCAAAAGAATCAGAGGTATTTTTTGTCACAATCAATCAATTTGTATTTAGACTACAAAATTGTATTACAATACATGATTTTTTGACAAGTATTAATACTCAGTATTGTAGTCTGAAAATACCTTAAGCAATAACATTATTGTGACATTAGCAAACCATATGCTAACCTGTATCTAGCAACTTTTTGAAAATTACTTTTTTGGAAAATTAATGTCAAATTGAGTTTTGAATGAGTTTTTATGTTTTTAAATGTGGATTTCTTGATCTCTATTCTTGAATCTGTCATCGTGTTTTTAAAGGAGAATAGAAAAGATACACTATTTAGTAAATAAATAAAAACGAACTTACCGGGGAGAGTGGAACACCTAAATCGCTATCTACAAATTGGTAGCGATCAAACAATTTTACCGTACTACGTTCTTCTGGCAGTTCGAAGAACTGCAGATGCTGTTGAACTTGCAAGATAAAATTCCAAACATTTTCCTTAAGTTGATTAGTGATTGGTTGTGTCAAATTTAGCGATTTACTTAAATATACCCACAATGCTGAAATGTTTTAGAAATTTGTACTATGTTTAGAAATTTGATTCACTTTTCTTTCTTTTTTACTTAAACTTACACTCCAATGTTATACCCTCCAAACCTTCTAAAGCTATTTCATCCAAAATAACTCGTTGCATAGATCCTCTATTGGAAATATTCATTTTTGAAATAATTATATAGTCAATTTCCCATTTATTTCAAAAAATTTTTTAATAAATCATCACTTTGTGATGATAGTATAAACAAATTATTGTTTATTCCCGTCAAATCACAGCTGGCGGATTAGAAACCAGTGGCAACTAAAATTAGCGACGACAGATACTTCCATTTGAAGTCTTCAAATAAGGGTAATAGCATGGTGCAATTATAAGGTGAAGTCCAAGGCGAATCCACAGAAGGTGTTATTCAATCAGCTGATATATATAAGTTTGTGATTCCGTTTTTAATTTTTATAATATAATTTTCCGACCCTACAAAGTATATATATTCTGGATCCTTATAGATAGCGGAGTCGATTTACCTATGTCCGTCTGACGTCTGTCAGTCTGTCTGTGCTTATCAGACATACGTTCGGGAAGAACGCTATTTAAAATTAGGTCCATAAATAACGGAGATATGAACAAAAATCCGAGACAACCTCTTAAATTTTCATCAAAAATTAACATTTTTCGTGCATGCTGAGACAGAAATAGTAAACAAGCAACAACAACACACATTATCATACGGTAAATTTTGTTATTGTTTATAAAAACAAAGCAAAGATAGAACAAGCCGTTACGTTGTTTTTGGCTAGAAACATGAAATTAACGGCTGTATTCATAAAAACTTATTTTAGTTTTATTAACCAATTTCAGGCAAAATTCACGAAAATCGTATTCATAAACGTTAAATAGCTTAAAATACCTTCAATAAACCATTGACAAATGTAAGAATTTTATTGCAGGCTCGACCCTTCTTTAAGTCAACAATAAGTTGATTTTAAAATTTTTTTTCAAATAAAGAATTTTTCGTTAATTTTAGGTTGATAGCGAAAACTAAGTATGTTTTCTTTTAAAATAAAATCTAAAAATTAAAATATTTGAGTTCACAAATTTGTAAATACCAGAAAATTTTTAAACGATTATATTTTGAGAAAAAAAACTCAAATCTAGTCTTTATTATATTAATAGATGAGTATTTTACAATATTCCAATTGGCCAGCACTCTTTTTAGGCAATTTGGAAATGCCCATAGGTCAACCAAATGATTGAATTGCCTTTTTCATAATTTGCCATAAAGTAATTAATTATTGTCGGTTCACACAGGCGAACTTTTTATTGGAAACTTTTGATTTTGTGTGCGAGAAAAAGAAATATCAACCATCTCTTTCTTCCACAAACAAAATCAAAAGTTTTCCCAAAAAAAATTTTCCTGTGTGAACCACCACTTATGTAAATTATATATTGATATTATATTGATTACTGCCGGTCCACACTAGGAAACTATTTTTGCAAAACTTTTGATTTTGCGTGCGAGAGAAGGAGAAAGAAATATCATTCATCTCTCTCGCTGTACAGAGTTTCTCGTACTCGGAAACTCGTTTTTTTTGTTACTGTCGGTCTACATAGGAAACTATTTTTGGGAAACTTTTGATTTTGCGTGTACGGAGTTTCTCGTACTCGGAAACTCGTTTTGTTTTGTTATTCTTCTTATTCGTACAAAAACAAATCAATGCAATTAACACGTAGTTTCTGAAACAAAAGTTTCCATGTGTAGACATTAAGGAAACTTTAAAAAAGAATTAAGAAAAAGTTTCTCAGAGTTTACGTGTGTGGACCGGCACCAATTTGTCAAATATCAACATTTGCAAATATTTATCTAAAATTCCAATAAAAATAAGAAAATATTCAATAGTGGTCATACGGGGTTTTATTCAAATGAGTGTAAAAAATTTAAAAAAATGATTTTTTTTTGGAAACAATGAATAGCTACCTGAACTCGTTTGGACAATTTTTGCTAGGACCAATTAGTGAAAAGTTACACTCGTTTGAATAAATCCCTGTATGACCAAAATGTCCAACTTTGAACCCCTCTGAAAATTTGTGTCAGACCTTGGTGCAAATTTCATCCAAATCGGAAGACATCGATTTTAAAAGTTGGGTCACTTGACACGAAATTGCCCATGTGTATAATAAAATATGATTTCAACAAAATATATAACTATATGATGCTTGTTATATAAAATGAAAAAAATGTACGAGTATCAATCAAGGAACATTCCCTACAAGAACAGTGACAGTCATTTGATCGGTCATTTGACTGGCACTACTGATGTATTATTTCTACACAGCGTAGAACAAAGTTTCTATCAGTTTCTTAAGGCAAATGGACAAAAGTGATGGAAACATTTGTGTACATGTGATTTTTCTTCTCCCTTGCACTTATGAATTCTATCGACTTTAAAACATATATTTGAGCTCCTCACTCTTTTGTTGTTTACTAACCAAGGATGACATAAATATTAGTCAGGATTGACTGAGCATGCTTGATGGATATATCTATCACAGTTAACAAATTAAAAATAATGTATTTATCGGTCATTGTTGACTAATCATATTTGATAAATATATCCGTCAAATGTGACGGCTATACCAATTTATAATAAAACACAATTTATTAACATTTTAAGATATATATTTTTTAATTTTATTAATATAATGAGCATATACATAAATTAACAATCATCTCACCATTTTACATACCTCGCAGGATCTTAAATCCGCTGATGCTCCTTTTAATTTGTGGAAATAAGTTGTCTGTAAGAAAATACATATAAATGTCGAAATATAAAAATTAAAAGTAAGTAATTATGTTACCATAGATTGATTAAACTCCGAAGTGTTTATCTTCAGCTCCACTTCCTGCACTATTTTTAAATTCTGTTTATAATAATTATCGTTATTTTTAATAATTTATAGTCTTCGTAAATTTTTTAACTTTTCGCTTCTTGATCTTTGGATTTTACAGAAATAATTTATTTATAAAGTCGAAAAATATAACTCTGAAACACAGTAACAGTCAAATGTAGTTGTTTCACTCTTTCATATGTAAATGAAACCCTTTACCACACATTGGGTACATCAACAGTCATTTGACTGTCATTATTGATGGAATTATCCATTAACTATTTTTTTAGCAATTTTATAAAAAAATGTTGCAAGAGTGTTAGTGAAATCATTTTGTATGTGTTAGTTTCGCTCATACCCTGCCAGCAACTCAACTAACTTTAAATGCATTAAAAGCCGACTTTTTCATCAACTAGTTATGGTTGATTCTTGGATTACTTTTAATGGAGCCAACTGACTATTTTAACATCGCGATGTCCTACGCAGTAGTCAATTGTCGGACTCTGCATGACTTTTCAACTAGTTTAAAGTTAGTTACTAAAAAATTAGCTTAAAGGTAACTCTTTATTAACTAACTTAAAGTTAGTTGCAGAAAAGTAAAGTAATAGTTTTCTTTTGTATTCCCTACTGTATTAATTAATTACATTTTAATTAAATATATTTAAAATTTAACTACTAGTTATCTAAATTACATTTCGCTTTAATACAAGTTATGATATTAGTTCGTTAAAATTAGTAGACATCAGTTTTCTGCAGGGGAACTAATAATAACACCGGTATCCATAAAATTATGAATGATTTGTTCATTATTTCCATGATTCCCATTGATCCAAATCTAAAATAAATTTTAAAATGTTATGTGTAATGTTAACTGTTAATGTATTATATTTACAGTATTAATCAGCAGAATTTAGAATTTAGGGACCGAGTTTTAAAATATTTAACCTTTTATGATTAATTTTTCCAATTTACTGACTCAAATTTCACAACGTATACAAGAAAATGACAAAAATGTAAAACAAATAATAAAGAAACATGAGAAAACATGTCGAAACAAAATGCTCTCCAGATAATTTTGGGGTACTCCCGCATTATATGATAGTTAGCTTGTAGCTAGTCTTTAAAAGTCAGTTGTTTACGTTAATAAATACCAAATTTTGGAACATTTCTGCATTACATTGTTGTTCGTTTATAGTCAGTCTACTAAAGTTAACAAATAAAATCATAATAATAGAGAAACAAGAGAAAACATGTTGAAATACAATTAATTCTCTCCAGATAATTTTGAGGCACTTCTGCATCACATTATAGTTAGCTTGTAGTTAGTATTTAAAAGTCGGTTCTTTACGTTGCCAAATACAAAATTTCGGGACAGCTCTGCATTACATTGTAGTCAGTCTGTAAAAGTAAACTAGAAGTGAATTTTTCTCGTAGTCGACTACAAAATTGCTGGCAGGGTACATTTCTTGTAGTGTTATAGCAGTTCAGAAGATAGACCTGGTCCACACTAGGAAACTTTTGTTGAGAAACTTTTTCTTAATTCTCTTTTGAAGTTTCCTTAATGTCCACACATAGAAACTTTTGTTTCAGAAACTACGTATTAATTGCATTGATTTGTTGTTGTACGAATGAGAAGAATAACAAAACAAAACGAGTTTCCGAGTACGAGAAACTCCGTACCGCGAGAGAGATGAATGATATTCTTTCTCTTTCTCACTCACGCAAAATCAAAAGTTTCCCAAAAAAAGTTTCCTAGTGTGGACCGGCAGATAGTAAATCGTAGAAAATAGATTTGGTTTTTAGCAAGGGGAATGAGAATATTTTAAGAAGTTAGATAGCCTATTACAGATACGAGAGATTCTGACCACAAAGAAGTGTTCATATGAAGATCTCAAAATACTGTCTATAATTATCTGAGGAGAATGAAGCGCACGAGAAAAAACAAAATTATTCTTAAAAGCCCGTGCCACAAATTATAAAGAAGTGTCACTTTTGATATTAAGAAAGCCTGAAATCAGTTTTTGAAATTGTTTGGTACAAATACACAAATTGTTTGGTATAAAATACAGCTAAAAAACTAATTGATAATTTTAGCTCGTGATGCCTCTGCATACCCTGTGCCCGTGGATATCCTGTATAAATTATTTTGTAAAATGTTAAAAGTTGTCTCAGTCTTAAGGTCCAAACACATTCATACAATACTTTACAACGACTGCGACTGACAGCTACGCAACGTAAAAAAAGTTATGCCCAATCGTTGTATAGATAAAGCATGAAAAAATAATTATATATGTTTTAATAATATAAAAAATATTCAATATAAAATATTTAATGTAAAAAAATATTTAATTTAAAATTGGTATTTTTCACACACACACAAATCACAATTATACATAACAAAAAAGACAAACAATAATTTTGACACTTTTTTTTGTTGATCTCATTTTCTCATTCTCTTCTTTTTCATACGCCAGAGTTGAATATTTTTTAACTTTTTTACTTCGTACACAAGTTTGACGTATTGATTGTGACCGCTCTCATTTAAATACATACAGTAAATACGAACTGTCAGTCGCTTTTCGTCGTAAAGGATTGTATGTGTTTGGACTATAACCCCGTGTCTATATTAGACAAATATTTATCACGGCACTTGACAAAACGTCGGCAGAAAAATTGTAAGTTTTTTGTTTATGTTAATGCATAGGGGTAACAAAATGCTGATTTTATCACGTCAACTCGCAGATAATTTTACTGAAATAATGCTATATTTTGCAGAAACAATTGAAATTAAATGCAAATTTTTTAAACAAATACTAATTTCACTAAAACTTATGTTAAAAATCAATTTTAATTGCACAAAAACAAAATTCTGTACAAATTTTACAATACAATGACATTTGTTATCAAGACAACGTTGTCTAAACAATTGTTTAGACAGCACTGTCATAACGGCGTTATAACGCTAATAAATGCCGTCTGTACCTGCTAATTTTTTATTATGATAACAATTTGACGTTTAGCATAATAAATATTTGTCTAATATAGACATGGAGTTATAGTCGACTGCTATTGAATATAAATTAAGGGCCCTTCAGACGATCACACTTTACGTACGACAAATCTAATGAAAAAATAAAAAGAAATTCCATCCGTATCACAAAAAAGAGAGAATAAAAGTCGTATGATTTATATTTTTCGTGTTTACACGATTGGTATAAAACTATAACAGCTGTTTCACTTTTGTGTGTGTTTACATAAAAATACATCCCTGATCTAATGCGACTTGCTTGTTTTTTGAATCGTTTCAAAAAATAAATAGAGCCATACGACAGTCTTCCATCCGTATTTTCTCTCAATGTGTGATGATTTCGTTACATATTGCGTTTAGACGATCCCATCCGTTCTCTTTTACACAAAATTTTGACAAATCATTTTAAGACGATTTTAAGTCGCCGGCGAACTTTTTTAGTTTCAGCCGACGGCTTTGTTAATATTTGTTGGCGCAGGTCTCTGTGCACAACCTATAAATTCGGCATACCTATTTATATTTTTTGTTAAAAAAAGAATTAAGTAAATAAAAATGAATGATTTAAGTGATAAAGTTGTTATTGCGAAAAATGCTTTAATGTCGGCTCTAGGCGATAATGGTCAGAAATATTTAACTAATATGAAGCTTTGGTTCAGGCACAAATGGTCTAAAGAACAGTTCGATTATGAATCTCGAAAATTTTTATCTCCAGACAAAATGCACTTGCACAATCAATTTCTTATTGCAATACTTAATAAAATAGACGCTTTCCAAATGCCGCAGGAACCAAGCCCTACAAGTGGTGGCGGTCTTTCAATAGGAGTTTCTGGTGCAACCTTGGGCACGACTAATAGTAGTGGGAGCCGTAAAACCAAAAGAAAAAAAAGTTCTCGGGTATCTAGTGATAGAGTCACATTTGAACCGTATGATTTCCTGGATTTTATTATGGAAGACACAATGAAATTAATACGGCCCGCGACAGGAACCGAAGCAAATGTACAGATTCTGCCAACCCAACGATATTGTGTTCAAGAGTTATTTCTACCAGATGCTGGATTTATTTTAGGCCGTTTTCTTATTGGAGCATGGGAATCTGGTCTAGTCAATGTAGAAGACAATGTCGCAGAATATGTTGCAATGGCAGTGCAAGTACTGCTAAAAAATCTTATATCTGCAGTCATTATGAAAAAAGAACATTATAAAGTAACTGGAGAAGGCTCGTTCTACTACGATGTTGGAGCATCACTTAAAGATCCGGCAGTACGTAACACTGTTACACGCCAAAAACAAGATGACGGACCTTTAGAGCTAGATAAAGAGATAACATCACCAAATTTTATGCGTAGATCTAATGATGATGTTACCTTTCTCTCCGCCTGTGAAGAAATGTAAATATATAGGCATTTCCAAACTTTTTTAACTTTTTAATCAGTTGAAATCTATTTTATTTTCAGATATCCCAAAAATATGAAAGAAATTACTCTTACAGATTGCCAAAGGGCATTTTCAGATCGCAATTTAATACCCTCACATTCAGTTTACGCAATAAATATGGAAAGATTAACACAAATGATGCACTAAAATATATTTTTATTGTTCATTTTATTAAATATGAAACAAAATATTAACAATATAGGTTAAATGTAATTTTTATAACGGTGTTCAGTGTTTATAACTTTGAAAAGACTGGCTTTTCCCCTTTAGTCAATTGGGCTGCAGCAGCTTGAGCGAAGTCTTCGGATTGTAGATACAATTTGTTCATTTCACGCTAATGGGAATGATTTATTAAGAAAACAGTACATGAAATGAATAAAATGTTTTTACATATACATATTAATACATATATACAGTGGCGGAAAAAAATAATAGAAACGCTTATATTTCGGGGGAAAAATTTATTGTCATGCAACAACTACTATATCCTTTTATCCGTAATTTACATTCTATACCTGCTTTAATTTCTTTGCAATTTATTGGTATATAGTATATTTAAGCTATTGCACAGGGGATATAACGTAATATTTATTGAAACTTTTTCGGCTCGAAATTTCACCATAAATTAATTTTATAGATAATTTTAAAATTTAAAAAATCATATTTTGATATTAAAAACGTCATTTAAGATTACAACTTTTAAAAATTAAAGTATGAAAACCGTTTTAATAAAAATTCAACGTGAAATCGAAAATGCACAGATTACACAGTTTGCGAGGCTTTTGAACGTTTATACGTTATGTCCCCTGTGCAATATCATCAATAAAATACAAACAAGTTAATAAACAGGTATAAAATGTAAATTACGGATAAAAGTAAATTTAAATACCCTAAATACCTTTGAGATATTAATCATGAAATTCTAACTGGTAGCTATTGCATGACAAAACAAAATTTCCTCCGAAATATAAGCGTTTCTATTATTTTTTTTTTCGCCACTGTATATGTATAAACTTACAATGTGATCTAAACCCATTTGATTAGGACGGCTTTGTGAGTAAACTACGTTTTGTTTAGTAGCTTGTACTGCGATCGGACTCTTTTCTGCAATGCTTTCAGCTAATGCTAGGGCGCCGTTAACTAATGAATCTTTGTCAGGAAAAACTTTACTGATTAATCCACAATTGAAAGCCTCTGAACTCTCAAAGCGACGTCCAGTGTAACATAATTCCCGAGCCAATGATTGGCTTCCAACAGCTTTAGGGAATCGTTGTAAAGTGCCAACATCAGCTGCCATGCCAATTTCAACTTCTTTTACGGAGAAAAATGCATCTTGAGAGCAATAACGAATATCTGCCGCTGTAATCATATCAATGCCAGCCCCAATGCAAGCAGAGTGTATTGCTGATATGACGGGCTTAGGACAATTTTCCAACGAACTTATGGAATCCTGATACAATTTAATAAGACGTTCTAGATAAATTCCTTTCCGTGCAACATCCTCAATTTCTGAGAGATCTTGGCCCAATTTTAACATGTCAGTCAAATCAATACCTAAGAAAAAATATCTTAACTATAATTATCTATTTAGTAATCGATGGACGTACATATATTTGGTATTTTAAGATTACGTTCAGATGAAAAACATATTAACACCTTTACATATATATCTGATTTTATTTTTCAAATTCGGAGATCTGTTTCAAAAATATTTAAAAATTAATAAAGTCATAAAACATTTAATTCTGTTACTCAATCACCGACTTTGTAGTAATAGAGCGATATGTAGTTTAAAATCTTGCATCATTTGTTAATTTATAAAAGTTAGACAGCATTTTTCCTCTGAAATTCTATTTTTTTTATAAATAAAATAGAACATTTTTCATAGATATACAGATTTTTCATAGATGTATACATAGATATAATATTTGTCATTTAGAGATACCGGCATTCAGTTAAGATATGTACATTAGACCTACTCACAAAAAATAGTGCTTGAGTTACCCCCCTCAAAATATTCGCTGTTATGTAATATGATGTTACCCAAAATATTTTGTGTTTAGTATTGTCCGTTCGTGAGCTGGACGGTTTCCTAAAATTTGAATAAAATAATTCCAAAATACCTTTTTTTAATTTGGTCCATCTCGCGAACGGTCATCGCTAGACTTCAAATATTTTGGGAATCATCATTAAACAAAGCAGGGTAAATTTTGAGAGGGGTAACAAAAACACGTTCTTGCTTTCCATACAGAGTGAGTCGGTCTAATTTACATACATACATATTAGGCTTCGTTTCAAAAAACAAAATATTTCTAGTTTCTGTGATATCACATCTTTTAAGGTTTTTGTATCAGCGATCACTATGCTGCACTATAGAAAATTTACCTTTTTTTGGGCAAAATTAATTACAGCCAAATGCCTGGACCGATTTAAATAATTATTTTCGATTTTAATTCTGGAAGACTAATTAGAGACCAGGAATGATGCCTTAAATTTGTCTTACACAGAACAAAAAAATACTAAGTATTAGTTGAGGACTAAATTGATTGATAAATCTTAAATGGTATACCAAGTTTTTTAATCTATTTTTTCACAATATTTTTTTAAAGTGTACATAAAATTTTGAAATTAGCTGTAAATTTAGTTTAGCTTGAAAAAGTGGCAATAAAAAGTATTGTATTAATTAAAATTTTAATAAAAAACTTGATATTCGAGGTCCAAATTATCAATTAATCAAAAGAACTCTCTGGAAAATGCGTTTTTTGAAAAAGTATACAAATATATGCAGCTGAAATATGAAAAATTCTGTAGGTAATTGATTGTCCTAAAGAACTATAATGATGTTATAACTAACATCTGCTAACAAGTCCAAATAAAATTCGTTTCATAATTTTGTTATTTCATCTTAAGGTCACTTTAATTTTCCAATTTAATCGGTATAATAGCCGAGTTCACCAAGATTTCTGTATATATTAATAAAGTACTCACTTTCACAATCATTCAACCGATAAAGTGATAGATAATCAACTTTTTTGCAAAATTCAAAACTATATATTTATTTTTATTTATACTAAAGCATAAAAAACGTATTTGAACTCCAAGTCGATCCTGTGCGAAGAAACGATTGTCGTGGGAACGACAGAATTGATAGGACATCATGCTTTAATAATTAATTTTATAGAAAAAATCACTAAGAATTAGCTAAATTTCAATTTTATAATGCTCCAAAAGTGCATTTAGTATTATCCAATGATGCACTTTTTCCAAAAATAGTTTTCTTTGGGCATAAAATAAAAATATGCTTTTTGCTGAGACAAATGGGGCAAAAACATTAACTCTGTAGATTTCAAGTCTTTAAAATTTCAGATTTTACAATTTACAACGCTATATTTCGAAAACTACGAATGTTATAAGCCCCAAAATTTGTCTTATACAAGTTATATGTATATGGAACATTAATTTGGTGGAGTTTTATTAAATTCGGAGGTGATGATGAAAAACATTGCTTGATGGAAAATTATTAACCTAAAAGTTAATATAATTAACATTACAACTGCTACACGGATTAAAATAAATTAACAATTTTAACACTATTTTTTAAGGGCATTGATTATTAAATTTACGAATGATAAAATCAAGTTTTGATTTTTTTTTTTTAAATTGCATTTTTTCTTTTGCTCTTATGCATTTACAGTGCATCCAAATTCTGTCAAATTAAGTTCATATCTTAAATTTTCCTGTAGAATTGTGTACTAAAGTCGGATTTGAAATATGTTCAGGAGTTTTCAGTCTATCAAAAAAATGTCGCCCAAAATCGGCGTTTTGGCCGTAGATATACAGATGAAGGAGTTGGAATTTTAACGAAATAATTACGCCGATATTAGTGCTATCAAAAAACTTTCATAAAAGGTATGATATCACAATTTCAAAAATATCACGTGTGGCCCCGTTTGTATGGAGTAAAAATAAGGTGTCAATGTTCCCATCTAAAATGAAAGTTTAATTGGTTTTAAGATACCGTTTCTCAAAATTTTTTTCCTGGTGTCAATATTTGGTGACCTGGATCAAAGGATAAAAAGGTCCTTTTTTAATGTTCAGTTTTCAGAAAATATACCGGTTAAACGATGAAAATAAGATTTAACAAATTAAGTTATAGAACTATGATAAACATTTTTCTACTATGATGAGAATTATACAATTTTGTTTCATCTTAATGATTTCTGTATCGAGCATGGATTTTTTTTTTTTTTTTGTAAGTTGCTCAGTTTTCGAATAATTTATGTCTGTGTATTTTAACAGGTTATAAAAACATTTGATAAATTTGAATAAAAGTTTTCCTCTTAAAATAATGTATATTAAGAGATAAGTTATCATAAAAATAAAGTTTCAAGGCGATGAAAAAACAAGTACAAACCTGCAGTAAAATGTTTTCCAGCCGCAGAGAGGACAATCGCTCTACAATCGGGATTCGAACTTAAACTTTCAAAGCAGTCTTTGATTTCGCTATATAAACATAAGATAAAAGGGTTCATATACATAAATTTAATAAATATGTAATGTATCTGAATATATTTACAGCCACATCTCTTTGTTGATAGCATTATAGCGCTGAGGCCTGTTCAATTCGACGTGAAAAACAAATGGTTTTGGAGTCGTTACAGCCAGTGTCTTGAAAGTTGGAGTATCAGTATTACTTTCCGGCAACATTTTTGTAGACATCATCCGTGCACTGTTATTTGCTGTAAATAGTTTAAACTAATAAATTAATAGATATTTTTTACTAAAATTTGCTTTCTTCAAAATTAGGAAAATCTGAACTTTGTACCGGTACTATTTTTTGTAATGTATTAGAATATATTTGGTACAATGTATATTAATATTTATATTTCAGCTATTAACTTACTCACTAAATTCCGATATGGAAATGCAGCTGGTTTCACAAGAGTTCTTAAAAACATTTCTTATAATAACTACAAATAAAAATTAAATAAACTATGTATTTACAAATTATTAATTCCTATTTGTTGTGGAACGTATTATATAGACTACTGTTGAATCGAATTTTCAAGTTATTCCGAATTTAAACAATGTCGTATTTATAAATATGCAGACATGCCAGACTTGTTGACCGATAAAATTTCTGACATAATATTGAGTTTATAAATATTTTAAAATAATCGAAGAATCGACTTTTTGTCG